AGCTTTCATGTGAAAGCTCTGTTTTTTTCCATTCGTGACTTAGTTTAAAAGAGTTATCGCTAGAACAGGCCTTGAAAAGTTTTCAAGAAGGTAAGTGTAATAAATACCTAAACATTCTCCTAGCTGCTCCAGTTCAATCAATTTTTCCCAATCTTCTCTTACCTACAATTAATCCACTAATATACTAATAGTGGTTTATACTTGTATACTATCATGTTCATGTTCAATTCTGAACACGAACGAGTTTGAGAAAATTTTTCTTGCCAATATGTATAACATTGCCACTAGGATGCATGGTTACCAACACGACACAACCATATATAGGGCGCCTGCCGGTTACCCTAACATCGTGTTCGACATTTAGGGTGAGGTCACTCAGCCCCGGGTGTTCAGTGAGACTGAGATATGGAAATGTAATCTGGGCAGCAAAATTCGAATGCAGAGCATGACGCATAAAAAGCGCAACCTGCCATCTTCTAAGACACAAAGACTCCAGAAAGACTGGCTTGCCAATGCCGCTCACTACGTTTAGTTTCTGAATCACAGTGAAGTGTTAAAGCTGAATGCTTACACGCCAATACTAAGTGAGCAAAGCGCCGTGTGTTCCAATCTTAAAACGAAATTCAAACGTGAGTTGCTAAAATTTCAAATATTTCTTAATCGGTGCGTCAACATTTAGAAAAGTAATGTTACGCGTTTGTGGTGCTCTAAAAAAATCCAGTACTCATGTAGACTTCAGTTCAGCTTTAAAAGCGCTTGTGAAAACAATGAAAACACACAATTGATTTTTGCGGTGAATGGATGAAAAATTTATTGCTTAATGCAGGTCCGTCATTTGATGACTTGCAATTCAGACTGCAAATCCAATATTCAACAGTCAATTGGGCACATATATAGGACTATTTATTCAATAGATTTTTAAGCTGAACTCCGTCAAGCAGAGTATCAATAAAAAGCGGTAAAAACGCACATATCCATTGTGTAATATATCTTGCTTCTTTTTCCTACGCTTCAAAAGGTGCTAGCACTTTAACATATTTCATTTTCGGGTTACTACACTTGCCACTTAAAGTATATAGCCAAATAAATCAAACTGCATTTCTTCATTACGTAATGACTACCTGCATGAAACTATTTAAAAGTTATAATAAACTAATCTATTAATTGGAATCTAGTAATAGAACCTGATGTAACTTTAAAAACCTAACACGATATTTCATTTACTATTCCAGACTTTTACTTTGTAGGAAACTGCGAGGAAAACAGGAAAAATAAATGTCCAGTTGAAGACGCAAATTCTCAACTTTACACGACTATATTAATTGAATTCGATGCTACAACCAATGATTATAACGTGGGAAGAAGGAAATTGTGAGTTCTTCGAAGATTTTAAAAGACAATGCAAAGGTTTTTTAGTAGCTTGGACCAACCCGGGCCATATATGAAAACAGATGTGCTGCATGCGACATTTCAAGAACATGGCCTCTGATATGATGAGTCGGCGAGTTTTCTGTTTATTGGCAGATAAATCCTAATAAAATTAGGATTTAGACTTTCATTACTCGAGAGCACATCACAGTCGCAAAACATATGCCCTTGATTCAATATTTCGAACGCTCTTTTGATCACACGGTCAAAGATATCAGTGGTTCAACACGGTCAAATATATCAGTGCTTCAACACGGTCAAAGATATCAGTGGTTCAACACGGTCAAAGATATCAGTGCTTCAACACGGTCAGAGATATTAGCGGTTCCAGACGCGATTGCGGCCACAAGAAAAATGAGTGCGTTTATTGGCATAAGCTCAGCACATCTGTAAACGGATGCACAGCAACAGCCTGTGGACACCACCTGACGCGTCGGTGTCGCGCTATTCATAGAGAGCAATAACGCTGGGGCTGGTGTTGTGTGACATGCCTTTTGGCAACACCTGCAACCAAATTGCTTCGTGTCTGGCTTGGATAAGAGGCAATATTTCGACACGCTGGGGATTAAAAGATTACCTGTATGCTGTGACTGTAAGCATGTTGGTTGACGCCTTGTTGCTGCCAACATTGTTTTATTTATTATTATCTTGACTGGTGTCATTCAATGTGCCAGTATTGCGCTAGAGTAAGTGACTCCATGTTGCATGACATGCTTATGCCTACGTGGAAGGGTTTAATTTGTGTCTGATGACAGTGTCTGTTCGTAATAAACACGAAGTTTATGACGGCAGGCTTGGATAGTTCTCCATGTCGATATCGATGTCGCTAAATTTGAAAACATGACGGGCAAAAAAAAACTAACTAGCTAAATATTGAAAGATTTGAATTATTCTTCCTGGAAAACTCTCGCATCAATTTAAACGTTCTGCTTATTATCAATTTTCATTCTTTGAACTGCATATTTTCTTTAATTAATTTTTGAAAATATTGCTTTGCTAGGGTACATAAAACAAACATTTTCTAATAAAATTCACAAATTTTTGGCTTTTTAAAGGACAATCCAATTACAGACCATACAAATAAATGATAAGTATTTGATCTGAATTCTGAATCAGCGCCAAACTCACCGTCGTATTGAGAAACTGTGGGCTTGAGTTCCTCAGTTTCCCAAGCTCAGGTCAGGAGACTCTTCGTGGTTTATACATCTCGAAATGCTCGAAATATTTGAAAATTATGTCTGTTCTTCAACGACCTGATAGGTTGTACTGATATACTTGGTACATCGGTTATGAAATTAAAGAATATTGCTTGATCATACGTCACCCTTCTGGTCAAGGTTTAAATGAAACTTCCGCAGTGTCTAAAAGAGCAGTAAAAGATCGTAAAATGATTTTTTTATGTTAATTTTTACAGCCTTCTCTAATTAGAATATTGTAGGGATCTTAGCAGGTAGCAGCAAACAATGAAGGCTCAACCCATAGATACTCTGTAATTAGTATAATTTCAAATGATCGGTCATGTGAAAAAGTAGCTTAATTAAAAATTATAATATCTTGCTGGAAACCGCATGAATAACTAATTAAAATCACGGGAAATATTAATTAGACGGCTTTCTCAAGAATTATTGCAAATAAACGTATAGTTTATACTATTTATACCATACTATTTATACTTTACTATAAAATTGCTGAAATTTAATCAGCACAATGACTGCCTTATTGCAATTCGTAACCGACGCTTCGTGGGTTCACCACCAACAAAACGCAATGTGGTGCTACTGCCGTGCAGTGTGATTTACGTTGTAACTTATTTTGTTGTCATAAAAATTTTGAACAGAGTTTAAATGAAAATTGACAGTATTTCCGATTAGTTCGGAGTTGGAGGGTTTTTTTTCCAATTAGCGGTAAAATAAAAATAAATACCCGGTTGTTATCATATCTTTTACTGTCTTTAGTTATCATATCATTTACTTTATTTGGTTTTCATATCATATATTTTATTTGGTTATCATATCAATTATTTTATTTGGTTATCATAGCAATTATTTTATTTGGTTATCATAGCAATTATTTTATTTGGTTATCATATCGTTTACTTTATTTGCTTTTCATATCAATTACCTTATTTGGTCATCATATCATAAACTTCATTTTGTTATCAAATCAATTACTTAATTTGGTTATTATATCATGTACTCGTACTTATATTCTTCAGCTACCGGAGCCCCGCCAGCATCGGAAAATTTCAAATGCGTTCAAAAAATAAACTACAGCTTGCGATAGTCTTGATACACGCTGTAAGGCTTGTAAAAATACTTGCAACCGAAAAATTTATAGCTCAGTTCCTGACTTTCATACCTACAGATGCAGCCATTTCAAAGCAATTGGATACTAATTCTCAAGCGATGGCAGGTTCAACTATAATATTCACCTTTCTAATAACGTTTTGAATCTTCAATCTTTCTCAAGGCACACAATTGAAACTGCTGGCATTTAGTTAAAATTATTTTCAACTTAATCAAACAAGAAAAAATATAACTCAGTACTCACTGCAGTTAGTGACAGAGAGCGCATTTTCTCGTCGACGAAAATTTGAGGTCACGGACGGACGGACAGACAGACAGACAGGCAGACAGACGGACATGGCGAGCACAATAGCGCATTTTTTCCATAAATGAGAAAATGCGCTAAAAAGACGAGTACTGCAATTTTATTTTCACATGTGGTAAATCCGGTGGCCATTCTAGGTGACGGTGCAATTTAATCAAATAGCCTGGCTTGAATTAATGCTGGAGGTTGTAGGATTTCGCTGGGTTAATGGTAATAGTCATATTGACTGTCATGTTCATCCAGCATATTCCTTTACATCGTTCATCTCCATCACACTTAACTGCATCCATAACGCCACACGTAAATTTCAGGGAAACTAAACTTTTTTGCGCGGATGAATTCGAATAGGAAATTTAAAAACCAAGAATAGAATAGCGTCCCAATAAACGCGGGCCATGCATTAGATCTGTCGCTGCTAATTTTGAACGTCGCAGAATTTTCGCAGCATGTTGCGGGTCTCGAAAATGCATGCAACTTACTGCTCCACTATCGGTACTTTGAACCGTAACCACTGAGTCTATTTTTTTAGCATAATCTATAGACTATAGTGTCCATTAATTATGGCCAATTCAATTTTGGTACTTTTAGAGCTTAAGGAAACATAAACATTTAAAGAGAATTAACTCACTTTCCTGGCCCAGCGCAATGGCTTTTTGCTTCTAATCTAAGTTGAAGTAGAGCGCTCAACTTCTGAGGGGAAGTGAGAAATTTGTCATTTCCTAACGACAGTTTGCATTTGGAATGAGATCCTCATATCATAACATAAGTATTTGTGGATACGATTGGCTACAAACGACATTCCTTTCTAACATATTGTTACATCAAAAATGTTATTAAGCGTTATCTAAAGATCACTAAACATCGCGCAGAATATTGTTCATTGATTTAGTTCGCTCTGTTTAAAAATAGGCAAATGAATGATTGAAACAATTAAGAAGAATCACAAAATGGCATTCGTCAAGCTTAAAGTAAAATTAATGCGCAATACCTTGATAAATGACAAAAAACTTTGAATCTGCCGGAGATTTTTAGTGGCCTCATCAATTAGGAATCCATTTAAAAAAATCACATAAGAAAATTTTATTGTGCAACAATCAATGAGTTGGATCTGTACTACATGGGTATTCATGAGATAGTCGCGTAAACCTAGAATCCAAGATTTCTTAAGTCAACTGACCGGTCAAGTGATAAAACTAAAATAGAAGTGGGTGTACTGTGCGAGTAGAAAGGGCAAAGGTATACCTTTTGGCTTAAAAAATAAGAGGTTGCCATTGAAAATGTTGTGGTTGAGTGAAGATGTTGTTGAATTTCTTCGCGGAGGTGCTTTGCTTATGGCCTTCTTGGTTGTCCTATCTCCCCTTCAAGCCCGAGCCACATCTGAGTTCAACGTTCACAGGCTTCAACAATTTCAATTACATTCTAATTCGTTTGGTAAGTATTTCTTAATTTTATTTCAAAATTACTTTTACATTTTAAGAAACTTTATTGTAATTTATTAGCAGTAATGCAGTATACCTAGCCTAGAATGGAACTATGGAAGCCTTATTGCTATTGGAAGGTTCTGTTTCAATTTTGATCATGATGTATGCCTACATCCCTACATAGCTATTTTATGTTTATAATTTTTTTATTTCAATTTCCATTTCATATGAAATATGAATGACTAGGCACTATTCTCATTATGATGTTTTGACATATATTATCTTTTTAATTCTGCTGGCAGTTGCATGATCATCAATTCATCAGGAGGAAAAAGTTCTATGTGTTGACACTTGACAGTGTTGTATTGTAATCTTGATGCTGCAGCTCCAAGCCTCCAAATGCCAAATGGACATAGGCTTAGGGCTATTCTCAATAATTTTTGACCAATAGTAGCTTAATAGCAATAATAGGTACCACTACCAATACCATCAAATAGGGCAATAAGGGATGGGTGGGGTAAAAATTGGGAGAAGCATCCCACATTCCACAAAAATGTTGTAGCAGCTAAACTAATAACTTATAAGTACGTAATCAAAATATTGCAAAACTAAAAATAGCAGAATAAAGTTCAACATTTTTACTATCTATGTAGAAATGTAGCATAAACTGCAATTACAAAGCAATTTTAACAAATCATACATTTCTTACCTCTAAAAAATCCCTGTAAAAATGTGTGAAAAGTGAGATTCTGGAAAAGCACCTCTGCTGAATGCTGACTGCTAAGGTCTGTACAGCAATCCCTTGATTAGCACGGTTTTGAATACCGCGGTTTTGACTTTTGATTAATGCGGAAAAAAAATTTGTGACCTACCCTTAATCTACGCGGTGCCAGTTTTGATTAGCGCGACTTTTTTTTTCACAACGCATCATTTTCCCGCCCCTAGCCAGAGGTGTTACGTTCGTAACAAAAGTGTTACTTTTGCTTATTAGAACTTATGTTGTTACTTTTGTTACGACTCTTGGAAAAATTCGCCAAATGTTGTTACTTTATGAATTTCAGCCAATAATTCTTTAAATAAGGTCCCGTTCCGTAGGCACTCATGCTGACTACAGATTCGGTTTAACCGCGCCTTGTCTCGTTCATAACTCGAATGATCGAGTTCGGCAACGTTCGCCGGTAAGTGCGCCATGCCGGTGCTCTAGTTACTCGTTAGCCTTCAACTGGTCAAGATCGCTGCCATATCTACTGCTCATTTTTATCAAACTACATAATTTTCCTTGATAAATTACCGTCGTATGTAATTATGGACGAAAAGGGAATGCTTAAACGTAAAAATATCACTTTGGAGACTAAGCTTGAAATAATTAAGCGTTTTGATAATGGTGAAACGAAAACGAAGATTGGTGAAGACCTAGGTGAAGATCGGTGAAAAAAAATTTTCATGTAACTTTGCTATTTTTGAGGATTCGTTATAATTATTCCCATATATTCTTAAGTTTGATTATCGCGGTTTTGCTTAACACAGTAAAACTCAGGGATTTATTAACCACATTAATCAAGGGATTGCTGTACTCAGTACCTAGCAAAAAAAAAAAAATTAGTCATTTTAAAAATTTTACTTGCATGAAACTGATGAAAGTTGCACATAGGTGTTGGCTTAAAAACGTGATTGACAGAATGTAGGTATCTAATTCCCCCCGAAAAGGCAGCCATTTTTGCAAGATGGGGTAACGAGGGACACCCCTACAAAAAGCATTTACAGCTGAACCTCAATTAACAAAAGCTCCAGTTAACAAAAATAATTGATTAGAAAAAAATTTTTCATTCTATTTACCTTGCTCAGCAAAAAAATTTAACTTAATGAAAAATTGATGCATCATCAGTCATCACAAAATTGTGCATAGAATGTTATAGATGAAATTGTGCACCAGACAACATAAAATTAAAAGTAATTAACCTAAACTCCTATGATTTATTTCTCCAAAAAATATGATGGTTGTTACTAAAATATTTCTTTTTGTTTCAGGTAGGTATGTTTTTATGATCTTTTTTTTGTTAAAGTCAATTCACTTGGCCCAATTTAAAATGGTGTGAAATTACAAGCCATCCTGTAAGCTTACAGATACAGAAGAAATGCTATAAGGCTGCTGATATAAAGCTTGCAGTGGACAAGGTAATTGTAAATGCTCAATGGCATGTTTATGGATAGGGTAATATCACATCAATAATATGGTAATGTATGGTCATAATGGATATTGTAATATCATATCAATAAATGAACAGCAAGTAAAAAATCACAGAAAATGTCCATTTATTCTACATCTAAATCATCTATAAAGAAGGAGGAGGACTTTAGAGTACTGTTAGTATTAGATAAGTACCTACACTCTGCATGCTTCAAATGTCTTAAAATTAGGTTTTATTTCAAGTGTTCCAAATTACCCCATTCCCAGGAGTAATTTGGAAGCTATTCTTTTGCATCTGGCACCTTATGAATAGCATATGTATTTTTTTGGAAATGCCATACAATAGCCCTCAGAAAGACCTTTAAAATTATCCTAAGCTCATTTATGAAATTTTTCATGGTAAGAAGTTAACGAAAAATGCTCAAAATTGTCCCTTATAACCCCATTTTATGGTAGGTAATTTATATAGCTTGTATTTCTTGTCTATGCATACAATATGGAAATAGTATATACTATTCTGCCCTCCAGGGGGCCCAAACATTGGCACTTGACTCAGAACAACCTCTTATTTTCAGGTTCTCTTGGAAGTTTGGTGAATGTCGAGGCAGGAACTCTAAGTGATGGTCCTATGCTGCGGCAATGCATCTTGGCAAAGCTGGTGGACGTCACCCCTGAGGTGTACAGACTTGTGTCAAGTCAAGGAGCTGCTGCAATGGTCATCATCCTGCCCAGCAACATGACTGCTCTTTCAGCTCCTGTAAAGATGCTTGTGAGACAGGTAAAGTTGAATATGTATATATTTTATGGAAATATCTATTTTTTTAAAATATAAGTGCAGTTGAATCTACAGTAACATGACTGCTCTTTCAGCTCCTGTGAAGATGCTTGTGAGACAGGTAAAGTTGAATAAATATTTTATGAAAATTTGGATTTCTTTTTTAATCTGATTGCAGTTGAATCTACTGTAATTATTCTGGTTTGCCATTCAAATAATTTTTGATTGTAGTACCTTCATACTGTATTGCTCTGTGGATGGGATATACATTCAGAATCTCTGATTTAGCTGAAACATAATATCCCAAGAAAGAGTGTTTAAAATTGGTGCACTTGATTTGTGATAATCCTCCTTCAAAATAGAATAAAGATTTATATGCCTCTATTTGAATACCGTCAACCGGGGCTACTCGGGACAGATTTGAACGATTAGTTTTAAATAACAGTTAATAACTTCTTATGATGAAACATTTCATAAACAAGTTTAGTCTCATTTTATAGCTGATTGGCAGGGCTATCGAATGGCGTTGTCAAAAAAATTCCATTGTCCCGAGTAGCCCCGCCGTGCGGAAATGGCTGCCATTTCTTTTTGGAATGAGATAGGCAAATTCTGTCAATTACGTTTTCAAGCCGACACCTGGGTGCAACTTTTATGTAAGTAAAATTTTTTAATACGGCGAATATTTTTTTGCTACATACCTTAGCAGTTGTAACTTTAAAAAACATAGTTTTTCACCATTTCTTTCAGGAATTTTTCAAAGCAAGTAAATGTAGTATTTTTCGACTTCCTTTATACTAGATAGATAGGAAAAATAGGTACGTTTATGCCACTATTTTTAGTTTTGCGATATTCTAATTAGTTTCGCTACTACAACAGTTTTACGCCATGTCATAGGCCTGTCCCGAGTAGCCCCGCCTGTTCCGAGTAGCCCCGGTTGACGGTATATGTATAAATGGTTTGAAAAATATTGTTACTGGTATGCACATCTGTATGAACTTTTGACAGTTCCAATGAACAGTGACATGAAGACTAAAATTGCATTAAAGTTCTATGAAAATTCCAATCCAGTTCTCATCCACATGATGTATGTTGGTACAACTATGATGGTGTAGCAGCAATGTCTACATTGTGTTTGTCATTGTGCAGTTGGAGGAAGCCATGCTGAGCACTGAAGTGCCAATGGCCGTCTATCTGGCTCAAGAGACACCTGAGTTAGCTGCCATTTACCAAAGTGTCAAGGACAAGACTTCTTCTGGTGCCTCCTCAGCTGCTGCCAGTGAGTTGGAGGATCCTGTTAAAATATGTACCTACATCATGAGAAGTCCGAATCTTAGTTGTATGTGCCTTTCCCCAAATGCTTGAAAATCTGTCTATTTATACCAGTGTTCATTATTTGTTTTAATTATCTCTGATATTGATAATTTAAACTAAATCAATCTCATTCCATTACATCAGTCTCATTCCAATAAATCAGGACTTCTCATTCCATCAAATCAATCTCATTCTAATAAATCAGTCTCATTCCATTGAATTCATTCAATTACCGGTATATCAGTCTATTTTCATTAAATCAGTCTCATTCCATTAAATCAATCTCATTCCATCAAGTCAGTTTAATTCCTTTAAGTCAGTCTCAGTCCATTAAATCAGTCTCATTTCATTAAATCAGTCTCATTTAATTGAATCAGTCTCATTTAATTGAATCAGTCGCATTCCATTAAATCAGTCTCATTCTGTTAAATCAGTCTCTTCAGAACTCATTTCAAATTAATTGAGAAAAAATGGATATACAGCCTGCAACTCCATTACATTTTGACAAATTGACAGTATTCAAATCCAAATTTAGAATAAAAAATTTTGACCATTTTATTCATTTTTTTGCCATTGTACTAACAATTATTGTTATAATTCATAAGTGTTTTTGTTTTGTTTTTCCACTGCAAAACTCTTTATTTACAGTGCAATTTTTGACATTTTTTAGACTATCTCTTAGAAATGTCATGTTTTATATTTCTCACGTAAGGACTGTTGGAAAGTGAAAGTCTTCAGCATTATTATTACAAATGCAATGCCAGTCTTGAGTTAATAATAATTTGGTCTGAGTTACTCGTATCAGTTTACTATTTTTTTCTCTATCACTTTCATTTTATTTTCAAGAATGTTGACACAGTAGGTAAATTGTTTTAATTTCTCTCAAACTTTTATGTAGAAAAATGGTCAGTTTTTAAAGTAATCACTATTTTGATGATGTACGTAGGTATACTAATGTTTCAGGTTTATTTATTGTAATTATATTTATAACTGATAGATTTTAAATAAACTGTTTCAGATTTATTTATTATAATTATATATATAATTGTTTATATTTTATTTAATGTTTCAGATTTTCTCAGCAGCCTGGCATCTGATGGCTACCAAATGGTGGTGTCAGGCGCTCAGTCCAAGCCAATGCTTGACGTTGCTGTTGCCAATGTCCAGGTGAGTGATAAAATAAAACATGAAACTTGATAAATAAAACAAATGCTCTTCAGAAAGAGAAAGTTGTATCGTATTTCTGATATCTTTTATTTAAATAACCAAAATCCTCCTGTAAATTTCTCTGCTTGAATAACATTTGTCATGTCATGATATAAATTTACTTTGTTGATTCCACTACAGGGACAACTGAATGGCTTTGGTGCTGAAGAAAAGCTGCCTTCCATAGCAATTGTGGCTCATTATGATGCATTTGGTGCCGCACCTGTGAGTATCCTGGGTCTAATTCTACCTAATTCATGTTCTATTTGATATAAAATGGATAAGGTGGAGCAGTTATTGGTGAATGCTGCTTAAGTAGCATTATGATGGTTGCTATTGTAACAGTCTGTGTACCCTGAAATATTCAAAAAAGGGGATTAATAAACTTTTTTTGATGGCATTTTGCAATTTCTGAAGAATGCAAATGGCATCAATCAAATTGTAAGTAAATGTCAGTATATTTCATGAATTTTTGATCAAAATGTATAAGCTTCTTTCATCTTTCGATCTTTCCAAAGGAAAAATAATTTTAGGTTTTACAAGATGAAATATTGAGTGATGGAGCAGCATTGGATTTTCATAAAAGATTTTTTGGTACAATGGTACATTGATTGCTTGAAAAATTCAATTCAAACTCTTTTTGTTAAAGATTCAAAATCTTTTTGTTGAAAATTCAAAGTATTTTTGTTACAAATTCAAAATATTTTCAATATTAATTATCTTCATTCATTAATTTTTTATTGCATTGTGAATTGTTGCTGAAATTTATTCCAGGAATTATCATTTGGTGCTGACAGCAATGGTTCTGGAGTGGCAGCCCTGTTAGAAATTGCAAGACTTTTGTCGCGACTGTACAAGTCTCCCCACACGCACCCTCATGCCAACCTCTTCTTCCTCTTGCCTGGAGGAGGCTTCCTCAACTATCAGGTACATATTTTGGTTAAATTCCACTTTCTTACTAATGCCCAAAATTAGTATCGACTTGATAACCTTTATAAGCCATCATAGTGGATGTAGCGCAAGGAAATAGGAAAGTCCTGCTTAAACAGCAGCATTGAGTCATATTGCTGTACCCATAAATTGCCTGGAAATACCTATAAATAAGCCCAAATCCTACATGGATTGGCAAAATAAATATTCCTGTAACATGCCTCACACCTGTTGCGTTGTAAAAATACAAGGACCAAGAAACATGATACCTTTACAATGGAACTGCACTGCTTACCACTGGCTCTATTTATGTAATCTGTAACCGATAGGAATGATGATTGCCGAATGGATTATCTGCGCCAGAGTCAATAATTTATAAGCCAGCTGGGGCTCTTGACTAGCAATAGAAATTAAAGCAGAAACTTTATTTACAATTTGTTTTGCAAAGACTTGACATTTTGAGTTTGTCTCTGCATGCACTCGTTAAATAATTATTCAAACCGTAAATCCAACAATAATTCACTGCATGTTGCAGTGCATAATGCACTACATTTGTGAATAAAATCTTTGAACTGTTTAAATAATTGAGCAGGGCACGAAGCGATTCCTGGACGACATGGAAGGAGGCGACACAAATATTCTGGGTGAAGGACGCCCCACTTTTGTGCTGTGCCTCGACGCCCTGGCTGCCACCAACAGCCTGCAGCTCCACGTGTCACGTCCTCCGAAGAACGGCACACTCATGCATGCCTTCTATCAGGTCGGTGCTCACTATCATGGCGAGCTCTGTTTAGTTTTCCCTCTATGCATGCCTTTTATCAGGTCGGTGCTCACTATCATGGCGAGCTCTGTTTATTTTTCCCTCAATGTATGCCTTTTATCAGGTCGGTGCTCACTATCATGGCGAGCTCTGTTTATTTTTCCCTCAATGCATGCCTTCTATAAAGTCGGTTCTCGCAATAGCTCTGTTTATTTTTCCCTCAATGCATGCCTTCTATAAAGTCGGTTCTCGCAATAGCTCTGTTTATTTTTCCCTCAATGCATGCCTTCTATAAAGTGGGTTCTCGCCATCATGGCGAGCTCAGTTTTTTTTTCCTCAATACTTGCCTTCTATACTAAGGCTTGTCGTATATGTTTTTGTACAAAGATGATATTACTAACGTTTATTAGTTGAGTCATGGCAAATATATTTGCATGTGTTTTGCTCGAACAATTTACAGAAAGGAAGAAAGTAATGTTGATATTATCCCCATAGAGGCTGCTCGAGGCAGGTCAGGAGCTGGGTGTGGAGGTGGGACTCGTGCACCGCAAGATAGACTTGGCAGATGCGAGGCAGCCGTGGCAGCATCACCTCTACAGCATCAAGAAGCTGTCTGCCGCAACGCTCTCCGCTCTCACTGTCTGTTGGAGCAGATCATGTTGAATTTCTTCTAAGATAATGAGTATATTTATTAAAGCTGTGTTTGTATTGACGTCACTAGTTATTGTCCCTTGTGATGGTAGCTAAGTTCGTGTTTGTGCAATACTTGTAGATTAATTTAATTAAAGCTATGTTTGGCTTGAAGTCATCAGTGATTTGGCCATTGTGATGGTAGCTAAGTTCTAGTTTGTGCAATTCTTGGGAATGATAATAATTATCTTTGAGTAGTGGCGAGTGATGATCTCGAGGTGATGTAGATAAGATATTGGACAAAGATGCTACTTTTAGTGCTTTTGAAGCAGTGTTTAATAACAACTTGTAAGCATATTTACAAATCTAATTCTTTAAATTGAGTTCAATCAAAACAATGATTTGGATATTGCAAAAAATGTATTTAAAAATCTTTAAGCCAGTACTGGCAGCATGCATATAGTAGTTAGGGTTGTAGTTAGCTTAGGTTATATTAGAGGCAATGCTCGCAGGTCTGTAGTCCAGCTGGCAAATGTTACCGTGTAGTTTATGTTATTTATTAACAATATTTAGTATCAGTTGTCAAAATTGATTTGAAAGCATTATGGTTCCGAATCTCGACACTAGGGTGTTTGTTAGCACTCGCTGATATAGAGAACTCACCACCACTTCGCTCACCATCATCACAATTAACGTAATATATTTCAGAGCGGGGATGGAGATGAGCGCGGCAGTATCACGGACACCCTGTCTGCACTGAACACCACACGTCTGGTGCTGCACACCAGCGTACTGCACACTGCCTTGCTGCGCACCATATACAACGGTGCTGCTGGAGCTGTGCACCACATGCTGCATGATCTGCCTCCTGCACTCGTGCGTCTAGGCATAAATGCGCTCATTCAGTAACTGAAATTATTCTATCTTAATCATAACTAATTTTCACTATATTTTAGCATTTTCCATTAGAATTTTCCATTTAATTCAAACATTTTTTCTTTATAAATTTCACATAATTTATTGTGTTTTCCTTTTAAAATTTTCCAATTACCCAAAAAAAGTGTTTTAATATACCTACTACCGCTTTTTTGGAAACTAGGTTAAAAATTTAGAAAGGCAGACACTAACCCGAAATTACGACATTATCCCTTAACAACTCCTATATATTAGAATGACATCTTAATTAATGTAAACTTTGTCCACCAGAACGTAAACAGCAACAGCCTGTCGTATTGGCTGTCGTTGCTGACGTCTCAGGCGCGCTCCACACAACTGCTGCAGCCGGCGAAGTCTCATCCTCTTGTGCGAGCTCTGCATGAAGCTTTGCTCAGGTCAGTTCGTCTTCTTCAACTAACACATAAAAATTTATAACTTTTTAAGATGATAATATTTTTGAATGGAACAAAAATACATCTGCAATGTATTTTTTGATAATGTTTTGAATAAACATTGTCAAGTACATGGCATTCCTCTCATAATACATTTCTACGGCGCAGGTTCACAGTGGACGTGAAGCTGTCCGTGTTCAAGCCTGACAAGCGTGACCCAGACTTTGGGTTCCACGATAACACCGGCGGCGTCATGGTTGCGTACTCCATCAAGCCTGCCTCTTTTGACTTGCTCCTGTCACTCATCATTGCCGGCTATCTCGGTGTGGTTTATCTTCTGCTCCAGGTAACTCTCATTCATCTTATTTTAATATGCACAATTTCTGTGCTATATGTGTCAGATTCTCCACATGCCGTCGAAATTCTGTCTTCTTGGCTCATCTTACTACTAAACAAAGTTTTTCACAGAGGGTCCGTTTTTGCATATTTGCTATAAAACCAATGAAAGCTATAGAAGCTAAAAACGAAATCTGAATGGCAAACTAATAAAAATTCAGGAAAATACAAATGACACAATCCAGATGCCCGACATAGAGAAGCTATACGGTAATAACAATCACTAGTTGATGTTTCAGTATTTATTTGCTGATGCAGCTTACTCATTGTTTCATCTCGTATGGATATATTTCTTGATTAGTAATCCTCCATTGTTGATTATCAGGAGCTTATTCAACTCTTGCACCTACTTACTCAAGTTGATATCTCTCCTATTGGTGCGTTAATCGCATTATCTGTCATTGCTGAATGCTGCTACCCTATTGATTTACAGTAACTAAATATCAACTGCCATTGCAGCATGCAGGATCTTTACATATAATAAAGAATGTGAAATTTTCACTGCTATTGATAATGATGAAATCCTATATGAAGCGTTATACCGAAAATTCACTCTTGATTAATTTTACATGAATCGAGAAGCTTTCACAGACATACCGTAAAATGGGGTAACTTAGACCGGCGGGGTAACTTAGACCACTTTTTGTTTTTTTAACGAAAACCCCCACAACTCAAACACTATTGTAACAAAGACCATCACTTTTTTTGAAATTACATAAAGACTATGAGAGGCAGGAGCCAGCAATTTATGGTGAGTGAAGCTAGAGTATAGACCTGTATTTTGCATGTTTCAATTTAAGTTTAATTTAGCTAGTAAAAAAATGGCATCATTGATAAGAAAAAAAGTGGTCTAAGTTACCCCATTTTACGGTAACAGTTTAGCATTAATTTCTCGTTGAGTAGAAATTTAGATGTCATTCGCCATGTTCTCTCAGCTGGATGACTGCTAACGATCTCTATTGAGAAAAATAGCCAGTTATGAAATTCAGAATCCAATTCATACAGAATTGTGAACGTGTCGGTTTTTGAAAACAGTTTATTTACGATAGGTACCTTTTTTCGCAGCAAATGCCATTGATCCAGAACCTTGTCATCCAGTCAAGTTCCATCCGCGTTTCCAATGGCAAAGTGAAGAGCAAGTACCATTAAGTCTACCAGTGCCACCGACTGCTGCCAGGGCTGAAAATGTCAACCGAGAATGGACAGCGTCTCGTATTTAAATCTTGAATTTTACTAATTACTCTTAAGTTTTGTCACAGTCCTGCAGTTCTAAATATGAAAAATTCAAACAATGGTAGCAGTAGTTGTTTGGACTAATCTCGTTGGTTATAGAAAAAATAATTTTTTGTTGAATGTATGTACATATATTAAGGCGATTAATGACCAGAGAATTCGTTGATTTAAATTATCAGAGAGTCGGACAATTCTTCAGATGACGTTGGTTGATCAAAAGGCTTATTTCGGGAAGTAGTTTTAGTTCAATACCGACGTTTCGAATGCAACAAACCTTCATTTTCAAGTTACAAGAAGCATTTAATATTGAAATTTTACTGGAAATAAGTGCATAATATACTGAAATAGAATACAACAGTAACATTTTTAACCAAAAAATCACTCTGAAAACTCTTTCAAAGTTCAGACAAATCCGGTAGTCAGTAGATGGATAGCTGGAGGCGGGCCACTGCTTGATGACGAGTGTGGCCAGATTGCTGGAGTCGGGGCCCACTTTTCCGAGAGGCCGATGTAGTCTATAAATGTTCCTTCAAAGAAGGCTGTAGACTTCTTCATCATTTGGACTATATCGACAAAGTAGACTAACAACCAGGATACCGAGCCGCTGTTGCGTTGGATTGTCTCATCAGATTTTGTCGGTCAGTAAATAAATACACCTTAAATTTCATGTTGCATTCGAAGCGTGATAAACTACTTCCTGAAATAAGCCTTTTAATCTACCAATGTCATTAGAGGAATTGGTCCACTCTCTGATAATTTAAATAGACGAATTCTCTGGTCAATTATCGCACGTTTATAAAAAAGCAAATTCTGCCATCTAATACCAATATATTGCGGCTTAAAGTAATTTGTCTGTAGAAAGTTTTTGAATCTCGAAACATTGTTATAATGACCACTCCGATGTTTCAAGTCATTTAAAAATCTAAAATCGTCCCTGAGCTGCCAGAAGCTTGTGGATTTGGCTATGGTCAGATAAATATATAGATTATAGGTATCTAACCGTAGTTTGGCTACGGTCCGATAAACATATAGTTAACAGGGTTCACCCATTACCTTCGTAAAGGTTAATAACAATGTCTGCTGCTAGCCATGTTTAGGACTTACGAGTCTATGTGCCAATTTGTTCCAAGATTTGCCTTGTCTAATGGCAACTCTTGTCTGATTTTCAAACAATTTTCGGCAAAATATTTGAAGCTGAGATTCTACGCTTCTTCAGAATAACCTTTCATTTGTATATCTTAGTACCAAGCTATTTTATTAAACTAAATTCATTGTAGAGTTTCACAGTTTATCTGCATAGGAAACTCTCAGGTAAAAATTTACCTGAATGCATTTGATTTGGTAATGATGAATACATTTCATTTAAAGAAATACTTCCTTGGCATTTGTAGGGCTAAAATTGACCAAAAATTGTTATAGTGTATTCAGTGGTTAATCGTCTTCCCGTTGTCCGGACTAGCTTTTCTAGTTGTCCTAAGTGAAGGAGACGTCAGATTTTGTCAGTAAATAAATACACCTTAAATTTCAACAGTATTCGTGCAGTGGTATTCTCACTGATGTTAGGAACACATTTGTGTTGTTGGTGAGGCGTTTGTGTGCGCTAGGTACAATTCATCGTGTTGACATGTGCTTGTATTAAGTTGCTCATTTACTGATTATATTAATGATCGATTTATTACGTACACTTATTGCTGCTTGGCGCAACACATTTTTTGTAGAATTGCTTAGATTTTTTTTGTCAGTTCATGTTAAGTGCTTGAATATGGTTCAATGATTTTAACTCCATAGGCTCTATGATGCCCGATTCAGATTACAATAGATTCGTGTTTTTAATTTAAAAAGACGAGCCGTTTATTTTTTGAAGACTATTTATGATACAAATTTCACCATTGTTTTTGGCGGTTAGCCTTCAGTTCATCACGAAATAGATCGATCAGTTCTTTACCACTCGCTCACGGTATTGATTCTTTTAATGCTTTATATTCTACATGTAATGCTGTTCTCTTTTCCGTGTAAACCTAAATTACGCTTAAACGAGGCTTCTCGCGGGACAAAATATAATTGTCACTGAACAAAGGCTTGAAACAATTAAAAATTTAAGTTTTCTGATGGGCACACCTCGATAGTGTTTTTTTTATTGGGTATCGATCGTTATTTTTTTTTCTTGGGTATCGTTGGTATCCCTGATCGTGGACGTCTTTGTTGAAATTAAGCGCGTGTTGCTGTACAAGATTAAGAGGAATGATTAATTCAAATCTACAAATATCGAAATATTCTCCCACTTTCAATGCATTCTAAATCGGAGTCATTTCTTTGCCAACCGCGTCAACATATTATAGTAATTAGTGTGATGTAATTTTCACTGTGAGAACATTTTCAAAAAGTCTCTTTATTAGAAAATTATTTTCATGGTGAAATTAATGTGACAGACATTGTCAAAGATGATGTTGTTGGAATTTCTTCATAATACACAGTATATTGAAAAGACAACGCTTATTGAGACTGAATGGTGATCGGTATAGTCTGCTTTGACAAGCGAGCTATTCAACAGTTTTGTGTGAATATACCCTGCCTCTAATAGATATTCTTATTCTGTCTCTTGGTTTGTCTTAGGTTGTCTAGTGAGACGCGGTGTGGTGGCTGACATTGATGGTGAAGTCTTTTCCCCAATCAATTAACTTTTTTTAAATAATCTGAACTTTTGGCGAGTCCTTTTACCTGAATGACCTTCCTTAATATTGAATTTAAGCTTTATTGATTTGATTCAATCCTAATTTACGCTTCTTTTGATGTATTGCTTGCTGTTTTCCCTGCTAGTCTCATTTAAATAAGTATTTTGTACGTAGCAATCGGTTAAGTACACTGCTTTGAGTGATACGTAGTAAGGTGAAATTTAGTAAGCTTGAATGCCCAGATCATGCTTATTACCCTTTTACTTATTTATTTCTTTAGCTTTTTATATTTATTTTAATTTGTTTCAACCTAATTAGACTGAAATGGTTTATTTCATACAATTGTGGAGCAGTTTCAGTGTCATTAATTTTCATCGTTTTAGAATTTATTTAAGGTTTTAACTTTTTTGACATGTCGAGGTTGGTTCATTTTTTTGCCGATCTTTTGAGTATGTTTTTGTGCAACAGAACGACAAGGATAGAAGTTTATCAATTTTTTGGGTTATCTTAGAGCTTAATTAGTTCCTACTTAACCTGGCATAATCATACGAACACTAGAATTTGTTAATAGCGAGTAATTTAAGTCTTCACCCTACTCCTCATTCTTCTGTTAACTCCAAATATATGTTCATTTTTCATTATAATAAATTACATTTTATTCCGATTACGTATGAACTCGAAGTGTATTTCCTCAACAGTATCTAGGAAAATTAGCCTTCAAGTGCAAAGTTTGGCGCGGACATTCAAAGTTGTATTTTTTCGTTAACCGTTTGAAGAGGTAATGAATTATCTGTTGCAATATCTAAACTATATTCATGATAAATGATTATTGAAGACTTGCGGTAGATACAAACAATATTTTCCTAGTTTTTTAAGGTTTCTGCCTGCGACAAAGCTGCTTTGTCGACCTTTTTTTCTCATTTTCATGATCAACCAGACGCTGTGCTCAGCGAGCTGCTTGCTTGCTAATTGTTTTAATTCTTGCCCTTCAGTGCCCGAGGCGTAGCAGCGTTTGTATCGTGTCGCTAGATTTATGAGATCGTAATTAACTCGAATAAATATGTTCAAATTTTCACTGCGTCTTATTCCAACGCCTTTTAAAGTGAGTTCAGTATTAGTTCTCTCGAGTCATTTTCGTCACTAAAATCGTACATAATTTTCGTAATAATATCAAATAACTTATTGTCTTGACCCCAAAAACATCGATTGCAAAGGAAATGACCAAGTTATTACATCTTCAATTAAACTAATAATTTATTGAAAGAGAATCTAATAAAGACAATGAATATTTTTCATTTCCATAACAGAAAACTGGAAAACTTCCTGTGAACATTTAAAATTTCTACTTTCGGCGCCATAATTTGTTGAGCTTTTGCAATTACTGGGTATTTTAGGCCGTATTGCCTCGTGCAATAAATGTATTCACGATATATTTAATGGAGGTAGAGTGGGCCTAGTGGCTACAGTCCAGCAGAGTACCAAGATTGGGGCAGTGATTTGCTGATACAAAATTGGAGCAAGCTTTAGCTAGTGATTACTTACAATATTACCGCAATATCTAGACAATACCAACGAAATAAACGAGGAAATAGACGAACTGAAAAATTTCTAATATAAACATGGAGGATGAAATCCAATCGTCTACATTCTGCAGCTTAAAAAAAAAAATAAAGAAAACGATGGATCCAACCGTAGGAGCAGTTTGAATGTTTATTGCATAAGTGATAAGATGACGTGATCTTGTCACTATCGCAACTTACAATAAAATGGCGATCAATTTTCCAATTAATTTAAACAGCTATTACAATCAAATGTTTTTTCTGTGAAAAATATTATTAGTGATACTCTGTCCTAACTCATGGTTGAATTAATACATAATTCAACCATGGTCCTAACTGGTCAGTGAGTATAAGAAATTATCCAATATTCTGTAAATACCTCGCACAAAACTGAAGATTACAACTGAAGGAGTAATAACATCAATGACCATTGCATATGTGTAAATTTTTGATATCATCTTAAACCTGAAAGTTACTATATCAACCTATATATAATTAGCAAGTGCTTGAGGCATCACTCGAAGTGGAAATGCCGAGGAATGATAACATGATAATCATTTACGTGCATTTGATCATGTTAAGCTCAATTAGATATATGAGTATTATTTGGCTTGTGCGCAAGAACACAAGTTTTCCGCCGTTATTCCATAAAAATTGATAATTAACATTCGTACTAGAGCATGAAGATGTGCGTGAGTGATGAAACCAAAGTTTTCAAGTAAGTTGACGCAAGCTGCTCACTTATAACGTGCTTGATGAAGTAATTTGTACAAATGATCTACTTTAGTACACATCATCAACAACTTCACACAAAGAGTTATTCAATTTTACTTAGTAGAGCATTTACGGTAAGAGGGAAGAACGAGTACGTCTTCCCGCATCAAGAAATAACAATTACTTATGAAAACTCAATGGCCAAACAAGATACCACTTCTGACTCATCAAATTATCGAGTAAGCTGACAGTCAAAGTCAAAAACAAGCAGATAAAAATGATGTCCTCAACAACAGCGAAATGATAAGCGAAACTCGGGTTCAAGGCAAACACCCAACACGACAAATAGTATGAGTCAACAAGTCAGTGACTAGCGAGCGGTGGTGCAAATGGCACACGCAATGGCTGCTCCCAGTAAAAGAGTGGTATCGGCGCCCAGATACAGCGATGGTGCAACTTACTTCGACATGGGCGAACATACTCTGCGTGTGCCCATGAGCCTTCATGCTGAAAATCGAGCAAGACTCGTGGCGCGCCTGAAAGAAATGATCGGTGAAGGGAAGCTGAACGCAGGAAGTGCAGTTCTACTCCAGGGAGGAAGCGACGTCCAGCGAGATGCCACTGATTGCACTTGGGTTTTCAGGCAAGAATCTTTCTTCCACTGGGTCTTCGGCGTACTAGAACCTGATTGGTTTGGGGTGATAAAAGTCGATTCTGGGAAGACTACGCTGTTTTGCCCTAAACTGCCTCAAGATTTTGCAGTTGTGATGGGAAGAATCATTCCTCCCGAGGATTTCAAAACGAGGTACCAAGTCGAAAGTGTCTGTTATGTCGACGATATGCCGGAAGTACTGGGCAAAATGAAACCTACAACACTATTGACACTGAAGGGAGTAAACAGCGACAGCGGTCTCACGACTCGCGAAGCACATTTTGATGGCATCGATAAATTTTCAGTCAACAATTCCATCCTACACACGGAAATGTCGGAACTCAGAGTTACGAAGTCAGCAGCGGAAATCGAAGTGATGCGGTACGCGGCAATGGTGTCTTCCGAAGCGCACTGCGCTGTGATGAAGCACATCCGCCCAGGAATGTACGAGTACCAACTTGAATCTGTGTTCCAGCATCACTCGTACTACCAAGGAGGATGTCGACACCAAGCTTACACCAACATATGCGGTGGAGGTGTTAGTGGAGCTGTGCTTCACTATGGGCATGCTGGGGCTCCCAATGACTGCATCATCCGAGACGGAGACATGTGTCTCTTCGACATGGGTGCAGAGTACTACTGTTACGCCAGTGACGTAACCTGCTCGTTCCCAGCGAACGGAAAATTTTCGGCAGACCAGAAAATGATATACAACGCCGTACTGGCCGCCAACCGAGCAGTTTTCGATTCTGCAAAACCAGGAGTGAAATGGGATGATATGCATGAGCTCAGTTACAGGGTCATGCTCAAAAAGCTTAAGGAAGGAGGTTTGTTAACTGGAGATGTGGAGGAAATGATCAAAGCGGATATAGGAGGAGTGTTTCAACCTCATGGACTTGGTCATCTGATTGGTATGGACGCTCATGATCCTGGTGGTTACCTACCTTCATGTCCTCCTCGACCCACCAAAGATGGCTTCAATAAACTTCGTATGGCGAGAGTGCTAAAGCATAACATGGTATTGACCATCGAACCTGGATGTTATTTCATCGACGTCCTCTTGGACCGAGCATTGGCTGACCCGAAGAAGAGTAAATTCATCGTAAAAGAAGAGCTGGAGCGGTTCAGAGGATTCGGCGGTGTACGCATTGAAGACGATGTTGTTATCCGTGAAGAAGGCAACGATCTCTTGAACAAAGTTCCAAGGACAGTCGAAGAAATCGAAACGCTCATGGCCGAAGGTCGTCAAGAAATCGTGTCGTTCCCGCATGCAGAAGGAAAGCACAGCAGCCAACGTTGATTAAAAAAACATCATCTTTATATTATTATTGTAGTGTGACTAGATTTGAGTTATGTGGGCCGTTAACGTGCGTTTATGAGTAGTTCATATGCCTATCTATGTGGGAATAATTATGTTATTGACGAATCGATATGACAATTCTGAAAATAAAACCGTAGAAAATGCTAGAGTTTGTCCATCCTTGGTTATCTATCCTTGTGAATGTTAAAAGTCTAAATAACCTAAAAATTCATGCTCCGCTGTATAGAAATAACATAAACATATAGGTATGCAATTAATTCTTACATGATTTTCGTTTAACGGTACGATACGATATACGAATATTTAAAAATTTTCGTTTTCAGAAAAAAATTTCACAGCACGGGCACGAAATAACATTGACAGCAGTGAACTTATTCTTCATAGATAAAAGGCCAAGCTAAGGATATTGCGATTAGATAAGAAAAGTCGACTGGGCAAGAAATTGCGGTCAAATTCCTTGTCGTTTCACCTTTCAGAGGAAAGAAGCGAGCATGGCTGCTGTATCTAATGATATATTTTTAAAATAATGTTTAGACCAGGCAATTGCCGAGCATTTAATTCAGCCTCTACTATCGCATTTGGCGTCTTGTGTAAGAGAAACAAATTAGTCAGGATTACATTTTTTCCATGCACAGTGCGTCCGTGGATGGAATGCTGCCATTGACATGATATTGTAAACGGATGAGGAAATGAAGTGTACGTGTACATTAACTTTAATTCCTCACAAATCAAGCAAATATTTTTCTTCGTACTTTTCTATGATCCGGTATAAAAACACTGAAAAAGGACATGAAATGTGACTTCATAAAACGAATTTAATGAAGACTAAATGCCAAAACAATACAGCTACTGGGAAATTATCATAATTCCGATATATAAAGATCGCTATACACACCAAGTAGAAGCGAGACAGATAGTATAATAAAAATTCAGCAAAACAGGAAGGTAAATATGCAAGATTTTTTTTCTAGCTGCCGTGACGCTGACCTAATGAAGATCTCGCCACAATGGCGCCTGAACTTAACTACACAAGACCGTAAAATTAATGTGCAATATTACATGCAAACAATATGTGATACAAAATTAGAATTCACGCCCATATGGTAAAGTGGTTACAATTCAAAAGGGAAATTTATCATTTATTTATTGATCATACGGGCGATCGATTCATCGCAGAAGCGAAGAAATTCAATTATTTATCAATCAAATCGGCCAGAGTTAAAAATTTAGATTAAAATTTCAAAAAAAAAATCTAATTTCAAAGAATATGAAGATGGAAAATACTCAAAAACAAACGACATTTATCTTCTATTTCTAGCTATACTCTCGCGCGCAAACACTTGGGCACGATTCCATTCCATGGATAAGAATGGTCGTACTAACTATGGACAAATTTATACTATTAACTAAAACACCGAAAAACCAAGTCAGTATTATGAAAGTTAATTATTTAACAATCGTAGAAAAGCTTGAAATTAAATCAACGAGGGGAATAATTTCGCTCAATAACAGCAAAATCACGCGATCTTTCATAAGAAATTTCATAGAATTTATTTTCTATGAAAACCCTCTCGATTTTATAAGCCAGAACCGAAAGCTTCAGACACGGAATGTTATGAACGTTAAGAAACTTATACTTAATGGGTTAAATAAGTCACGAGAACGCTAGACATAAATAAACCTGACCCGAGAGGTCTATAAGTAAGTATAAAAACAAATGCAAGAGTTCAGGAACTCTCGTAGAAATAACAACTTTTTGAAGAAAAATGAAATAAAAATTTGCTTACAAAACATTTTCTTTCATAGAAAAACGGTTTTGAAACAAAATTTTGAAACAAAAACGTTTCGTTTAGAACGAAAACGAGAAACTGTGCGATTTCATCACAATGAAAAATTACAGCAACTAATGTTTAAGCTATTCAAGAGTACGAAATTCATCCAAATTATTCATTTTTCACCAATTTCTGGCACCGGCAGATGATCACCGGCCGACCTGTCGCTACATGCTTAGCAGTTGCTGCAGGTTATAGACAGTACGATCCACCAGACATCATACGTTGAAATAACGTTCATTAACCGTCGTTTCAACGTTATTTGCCAGGAGAGGAACAATTGCCTGCTGTAGGCAGGTACAATCTATAAAAAAAAATAATAGATTGATTTACATAACCTCGAGCCTGTCAGTATCAGTCCTTAGTTGTTGTTCGATAATAGTAACCAATACAGTGCAGTATAATTACATGTTGAAAAAGAGTACAAAAAGCTTTTCAATATTTAGTATCCAAATTGCAACTAAAAATAAAGTGGCAAAATTTTGCTTATTTCTTCAGAAAAAAAAAACGAATACAGCAAAGCAATACAAAATGAAACTTTACGTAGTAAAAGTTAATGGACACATCTTCACAAAATCTTCACAATAACAAAATATTCAAAAAGAAGAAAAAATATTCTTCCAGATTCCGAATGGATTTTTTTACCAAATTTTTGTAATTTTCTCTACCTAGATACTCGTAAGTCAAGCCATATTAATTAAATTTCGTTTATCGTTTGCCCTAGAAGCGAAAATATTCGTGCACTTGTTCTAATGTTATTCGTACCTAAAAAGTACCGAACACGACAAATAAGTTTTCACGACTCACGTAGCTTTACTCGCCGTGTACATGAAATGGTTGTTTACAATTCATGGTTGGATTAACAGATGCTCAACCTGGTGAGATAACTTACACTAAGGTAATATACATCTCTATAAAAATGTCGTTTTCCAATGATATAGAACAATTATTCCAATTATTCAAGAAATCGAAATACAAGTTTACACTTTCAAATTCTTTTCACTTCATAGCGCGGTAGAGTGAACTTTACACTTACGATTTCACGCTGCCAACTCACTTTCATTCCTTAGTGCTTGGTTTCCATGAACATGTAATTGTCAATTATATAGGAGGCTTGTTGAAATGAATTACTTAGTATCCATTTCACACAAATGGATACTAAGGAAGTAATGGAAAAGAAATAAGTTTCAAAGTTAAATCATTCGATGATTTCGTAAATCGAAAAAATGGAAATGGCGCCCATACGCTCTGCCTCCTTGAAAAATTACCGTTAGCACAAAAATAATACACAGTGGAAATAATGTGAACACGTGCGTATTGCGCTACCATATAAATAAAATATTTTATATTGTTTCACTCGCAACAGTGGACCCGAAAATACGATGTGCAAGAGAGATGAATTATTGTTATAAATCATCCAAAAGCTACCGTCAACTGATGATGAGGCTACCGTCAACTGATGATGAGGCTACCGTCAACTGATGATGAGGCCACCGTCAACTGATGATGAGGCTACCGTCAACTAATGAAAGTTAATGAAGTGTGTGTTTGAACATGAAAATATGTCGGAACATGCTTGCGTTCACACACATTCATTATATTAAATACGGTTACAATTGTTGTAAGATATCTATGCGTTGGCCTGGTTCCCAACGTAGACTCACTTTCACTGGTAATGAAGATTATAATATTAAATTCTTCTCCTTATGAAGAAGAATTTAATGTTATTCTAATAAGAACTTCAATTTAAAACTCGTGCAGTCAACACAGCAGACTTATTCAACATTATTATCTGAATATCAAAGCGCACAGATAAGACATGTCCAAGACCGCACAATCATTGATTGTGCGACGGAAATTACACAGAAATATTGAGTGTATACTGTTCATATGGAATAAAAAATACATAAATAAAACAATAAAGAAATTTCATCCAGTGTATCTCGATACACAAACATTCCAAAATGAAAAAAAAATTCGACCCATTTTAAATTGGTGAACAGGAGTGCTGCAACATTAAATAAAGTGACTAAATTGTAAAGGATCCTCCAGAAAACGTGCATATATTATATAAAATTATAGAGAAAATAAATACAACAAACATTTGCTAGATATAAAAAGAAAATTAAAATTACTAGAAAGGGTGCACTGAAATCGACCAATGAGGGAACGGCGGTAACGAAACAACCTAATTTAAAAACTTTCAGGATCAATTAATGAACAATGCAGGTCGGAACACCATTATAAAAATAGTTTTAATTGAGGTATAGGATCAAAGTGGCCAATTTAAGAGCTTAACATCATCAAAGAATGAAAAATTAACAAGAGCAACAGCTTTAAATCTAACGCAGTCAGCCTTGGAATGAAATCAGACCGCTGTCGTGCGGTACAAAACAACTCTCAATACTAAACTAGGTACAGTATCTGTTACAAATTTAGTGCTGAGCATTAAAAATGTTGGCTAAAGCAAATAGTCAAGATAATAAATATGCTCGCGTGGCTGAATTATTTCTGGGAACACTTGCTTCATGAGGCGAAACGTACTCGCAAATAACCGCTTATAGCCAGCTTGCAAAAAAAAAGTTTCGTTTCAATGTTCAATTATTGCGAACGTTTTCACAAGTATGTATCTTAACGCTAGCTCCATGCAAATTATAATAGGATGAATACAAGTCAAGTATAGAAACCTGACCTACTGGCAAAGGAAAATAGGTACTCTCTTTTTCCTAATCCAATTACTATAAGGACTTGATGAAGAACAAAATGTTTCTAGAGCGATCACACAAACACAAACCCACACATAAATAGCTCAACTGTTACAACAACAACAAATATCTGTCCCTTTTAAGAGACACTCTACTATTTCCTAACAAAGCAATTCGTTATTCGACACAACTGCTTCTTGCCAGCAACCTTTGATCGCTTATGCAGTGTAGGCAAGACTCGGATACTCAAACTTGCTTTTATCAATCACTACTGCGAAGTTCAGGAACTTTCCTGAACCTGACTTCTATCAAGTAAATCAGATTGTTCCTCAATTATTCAACTATATTCGCATAACCCAGTAATAAGGTAATTTTGTGCTCACCATCCGAAATTAACTAAAGCAAAACACACGTACAGTACCATTTTATTAATGGATGCTATCTTAGCGAATAATTTTGTCGACCATAAACCGATTTCGAAACAAAAAAAACCTGACCAGGAAGGGAATGGATAATTAAGGTTGATAAAATTTCCAAGCAGTATTGATTTGAACGTGACTATAAATTTTAAGTTTCTTTAGAAGAACGCAATTAAATAAACATGCATTCTTCAACACCATCAAATCATTCACTCTAAAAAATAGCAATGAAGAAATGGCGTGTTTTAAAAAAATTAAACCCTGAAGAGTGAAAAATATCTTAAGGATACAATATTATTTAGAATAAAAAAAAAATTTTGAGCCTAGGTGAATATCAAACGAGGTACAAACACAGCGAATTTAATCGATGGAATAGTTATTAAAATCATTACCTAACGATTTACAGAGTGAACTCAACTGAGGAAGATGTCGAACAAAATAAAGACGACGATGGTAGTACGATAGTTCGATTCAAGCGTAGTACTAGCCTGTCAAGTCAAAAGAATGCCACGAATCATTCATTCCATGAATACCAAAAGATCATGGAATAAAACGTGGCAGAATATTTCACCTTTAAATCATCAGCCGCGGCAATAATCAATGAAACATCGCGAGGGTTAACATTTTCTTAGTTCTATTGGCATTTCTTGCGTACACTTCTTAACCCGGAAAAGCGTAGCCGAGTCAAACAACACGTGTCGATAAACTGGGGGTATTTCATCATAATATTTTAAAGAAAAAAGTGTCGAATAATTATCCAAAATAACATCCTTTCCAGCTACTAAATAATAAATTTCGGTTTAGATAATAAAAATTATGATGAGAAACATAAGGAAGCAGAAAAGGGAAAATTAAAAGACATGGGAAGCTTGCTATGGGATATCACGATCTCATTTCAAGAGTTAGTCTTAGTATAGAAGTTTAAAAATTGACGTTCCAAATGTCTAGAGAAGGTACAGCTATTTTCCACAACAGCGGGGAGTGTCTTGAATTTTGTTTCAAAGTGGCAAAGCTTACCTCACCCAAAAATCACAGCAGTCAACTAGCATAAAAGTTCGTCCATGCGAGGTTTCACATTTCTCATTGGAATGCCCAAACAATCTGCGGATGTTACTACAGCGTAACGAAAGGCCACAATATAATATCCTTCACATCATAACATTGTGTTATATTCAATCTACGGCTCTGATATAAAAACCATTGTAGGTTGCAGCTACTGAGAACCCGTCTGTCCCTGCTACTCTGAAGGGTTTGCCTGCTGTAATAATGCCACCTTTGGTAACAAAAACACCAATCTTGGGCACTGTAGCTTTACCTAGAGTAGAATGGATTTTAATGAAACTTTGAGGAAGTGACTGTAATAATTTAGCAAGGATTTAGCTAGGATAGTATTGATTTTAATAAAACTTTTAGGCCATGAATAAAGACCAACATATAATGATATGGTTTAACATAATAACCCTGCGGATCCTCAAAGGTTCCCTGAAATGTCGACCCCCGGTCTTCCGATTCATCGACCCCAAGGAAGTTCATGTTCTGCAACAACATCCTGTTCTCTATTGAACTAAGCAACTCCATAAAAATTATGGATCTTCTCTACCAAAAAAAATTTTACACACATGGGGCAGAAGAACATATTTCATCGCTTGTTAAATGTCTGAACAGCTCCACGGCGATTTGGAAATCCGAAATGCTAAAATTGAAACGAATCAATTATACGGAAAAAATAATGAGCAGGGTTTGAAATTATCAATTCAGCAGTGAAACTATGTCCACGTCAAGCCTATAACAGGCAGTTATAGGTTTATCATTTCCAGAAGCTGAGTAACACATCTGAGTAAGTTAGATTCATGATTATTTAGAGGCCTAAATAGAAAATAATCGAGAAAACATAACTGAAATGAAATAATATACCTAGTAAATGATAATCAGAAAACGTCACACACCTCATGAATTTTCTCGTCCATTGAATACGTAATAGTCAAGAGGTTACTAAATATTTCAAGCCTTAATCATCAGAGGTTCTTAAATAGAAAACTTCCGTTTCATCAAGAATTTGGAAATTTTTAAGAAAAGTTTTTCGGCAGATAAAAATGTTGAGAAAACATTACATATTGAACACTAAATAAAATTAAAAATTTCAATCAGCTAATGAATAATAAAATCCAGAAATATCAAAATGCATACTGAAAAAATCTGAGAAAAAGCGAAAATGAAAAATGTAAACCATTCAACATGAGGAGGCAAGAACATCAACTTCAGATGATGAGGAACAAGGAAAATGAAGTCAGTAAAAAAAAAAAACAGAAAAAATTGCATTAGCCGCAAAAAAAAAAAACACCATGACGCTGTAAATAATGATGAAAGGTAATGAGCTTTCGGACACTGATTGGCGCAAAGTTGTAACAACTTAAAATTTACGTTGTCTCTGTGCTTGTTGCGAACATAAATAAAGAGCTATGAATACCTGTGCTGAAGGCTGCAGTAGAAGTGTGAGTGTATCCCACAATGAATAAAATGTCACTATGTTGGGCCACAAGAATTGTTTACATAAACGATGGATTGCCATGAGGCTGACAATTGTGACAGCCAGAAAACTTCGACAATTACAAGCTTCACATTATTTTGGGGGGTGGAAGCATAATTTGTATAGTAGAACTTGGATGAATTACAAATACTGCAGTATTTTTGTAGATGGAAGCTTGCGAATGAAGGTAAGCGAGCACAGAAGCCACACTGTTAGAAAAATTACCGTTAACGGCATTAACGGCGTTTCAGTGGCCGGTCGGCACGTGAAAAGAAACAACGTGTCGCCGTTTTTATTCTAATTTAACACTAGAAATCCGTAAAACGACTGATAAAAACGGCGAAACAGTTTATTTTCACGGGGCGACCGGCCACTAGAACGCCAGTGGGACCGTTTTTTCACGGTTTTTTCTAAGAGTGCGTGCGAATAAGTAGACGAGTCGAGGGCTCGACTACTTGACGAAGGCTGAGATGACGGCCCACATGAGCTCGTTGGCGTTAGGACGAGCTGCCTCCGCCTCCAGGTCCAAGTCTAGCAGATCGCGTACACGCTTCATGGCAACCTGCACACGCAAATTATTGTTTGGCGTGTTCTTCAAATAAGTGATTGTTTTACATGCTGTTCAAAAAATTATTGTTTTGCAAGCTACTTAAGCTTAGATTGTTTTGCATGCTGTTCAAGCTTAGATTGTTTTGCATGTTCTTCGAAAAAATGATTGTTTTGCATGTTGTTCAAAAAAATTATTGTTTGGCATGCTGTTTAAAAAAATGACTTTTGCATGCTGTTCTAAAAAATTCTTGTTTTGCATGCTGTTCTAGAAAATTATTGTTTTGCATGCTGTTCAAAAAAATTATTGTTTGGCATGCTGTTCAATCTTAGAACTTTGAAAAATTATCCGAGATCAATCATACTCTGATATATCATAACGCTTATGTGTGGGACTAATAAGTTTTGCATATACGGTACATACACAAGCTGAGTAGCACATCTCAGTAACGTCAATTACATTTGTTCCTTCGTTTCTAAACATTAAAATTTTGAAACGTGCTACTTTGCTCTACTATTGATTGATAGATTTAATAAATACAAAACTATCTACAAAGATAAAAATTTCAACACATACAGTATAATTTAGACCTGAAAGTATAGAAGAACTATACTACGTACAGGTAGGAACTGCAATGAAAAACAACCGTGCAAGAAACAAGGTGCAATGAAAATTTTGAATAACAAGATGAGAAAGATAGCAAGATAGGTACAATTAAAAATACTTGATTGTTTAAGTTATGAGAACAATGATGGTCACTCACTCACTGCAGTGAGTGACAGAGAGCGCATTTTCTCGTCGACGAAAACGTTAAGTCACGGATGGACAGACAGACAGACAAACAAACAGACAAACAGATGGACAGACATGGTTAGCACAATAGCGCCTTTTTTCCATAAATGAGAAAATGCGCTAAAAAGAAACCTTGTAATCATACAAATAGAGACCTCATAATCCTATAAATAGAGCCCTCATAATCATAATCACACGAATAGTGACCTCATAATCATCATCAGAGAGCGGACTGAAGGCGTTCTCAAGCACGTCAGACGCGTGGGCCAGGAAGAGGAGAGCAAGAATCCTCCTGTCCATTCTGGAGGCCTCGCCTGCCCAGCGACTGAGCACAGCATCCTGTACCTGAGTTACAATTTAAGACATCAAAATTCTCGCAAATATAAATGAAAGATTAAGATGGAATTTTACAAAAAAATTGTATTTAATTGATAGTTATTGAATATATAACTCAAGTGTGGTAATCAATGAGCAGCTGTTAAATTCTGGAAAAAATTGCAAAGGCTGCCTGATTTAAGAATGAAACAGTATGATACATTGAAAACTAATTAAAAGTAAAGGATCATAACATTAGTTCTCAAAGAGGAAGCAGTAAAAATGTGTGTTCATGATGATGAGGCATCAAAAAATTGGTGAAAAGGTATAGTATTACTTACTTTCTTGACAAGCTTGGTCTTGATTAAGTTGTCTGTGAGAGGGTGTGTGGTCATGTCAAAGACAAGGAAGTTCTGTTTTTCTGTGGTAAGAACTCCCTTTTCCACAAGATTCTTGGCAAGACGCTCACGTACGTTGCGGAGCTGGTAGCGCAGTTTTAGTGGGTTCCATGACTCTCCTGTTCAAATTTAATGACTTTTCTGTAAAGATCTTCTACAATTATTGGTATGATGAACTTTCATCTCTGGTGTTAGTTCATATTTAAATCTTTATGACACTTGCAATTTAATTTGAAAAAAAATTGCACTCGAGCCAACAATTTGTTGGCATTAAAATTTGAATGTCATTTTCAGCCCATTTTATATGTGCAGTGGTACAGTACCGGTTTTGTATGAATGATTCAAATACATACCTAGCTTTTATTTGATAAGCTACATGCATAAATTTGATGAGCAAAATCTTGTGGAATATCACTAATTCAATTATCTTGACAGATACTGGATGCAGTTGTGGAGAAGTTCTTATTATGTAGGTATGAATTACATAACAACAGTTGTTAAAACTAAGAGTTAATGCATAAAAAAATTCAAAGGCAATGACAATCATTTACATTGTTTGAAGAAGAATGAAGGTCATTGTTATATTCAATTTCAGCTTCTGGCTTTCTCATCACAAGAGTTATGATTCTCAAGAAAAGCATTCTCATCTCAAGAGTTATAATTCTCATGAAATACAAACCTACATTTGATAGTATATAAATAATTTATTGGTCTTTGAGCAATGCTTATATGCAGACAAAATTACTACTATTCCTAATTACAAATGGACAAATCTTAAACACCTGAAAGATATTCAATCCAGCTGTGAACAGTTTCAGGCTGTGTTGTTTCTCTGATATGCTTCAGGGCTTCATCAAGCAGAACATCCCCAGTTGCCTGCTCATTACGCGTCACCACAACCTGAATAAAAAAACAGAACTTACTTTTAGAATTTCTTGATCTTCAGATGCGAGAAAATATTGTCCTAATATCTCAAGTGCAGGTAAAATGCATCAACATAATGGCATAAAATAATGCCCAAGTGATGCTAGAGATCCTAACAACTCAAGTGCGGGCAAAACAAATCAACATAATGGCATAAACAAATGAATAGTAAGTGATACTAGAGATCCTAACATCTCAAGTGTGGGAAAAACAAATCAACATAATGGCATAAACAAATGAATAAGTGATACTAGAGATGACCATTGAAAAATTAGTGAGCACAACTTGCATACCTTCCTGTTGAGCAAAGTTTTGCGCCTCATGCCTGCTTTTTCCAGCTCAATGCGCCCCCTGAGCGCCAGCTCAATGAGAATGCAGCCCCGCAAGCCACTTGAGATGCAGTCATTCCAAAAACTAGTATAACCCTGTAGAGGAAAATCAGATGCCACAATTAAATAGAATTCATTCTTGAATTCACTCTATTCAGAAATTAGAATTGTTGCTAATAAGGCTTTAATTTAAATTGGGTGTGTGAAAAACTTTGAAGAGCTTACTGGACTTCTCACTCAAGAGAGAGAAGAGACTAATACAATTTACAGGGCTTGCATAACCATCAAACGGGGGTAATAGTAAGGGATGCAGCAAAGCTAATTAAAGTATTGCAAAAATAAAAATAGTGGCGTAAACTTCAATATTTTTCCTATCTATGTAGCATAAAGGAAGTAAAGGAATTATACATTCACTAGCTCTAAAAAATACCAGAAAAAATTTTGAAAAGTGATATTTTGGAAAAGTAGGTGTTTTTATAATACAATTTTACAGTCATATTATTCCAAGTATAAATCAAACTTTATTCATGTATGCTCAGTTTTAGAGCAACACGGCAAAAGAAACTCCCTAGTTTTCAATTATGATGTGAAACATAGGCACCTATATACAATGTTTACATGATGCCTCATAACCTGTAAAGCAAACATAGAATAGAACAACATTTCTTTGCTAGGTATTTCAATTGCTCTATCCTGTACTAAGGACCACTGCTGTGTTATTGTTATTAGAAAGGTAGAGAAACTTCTGGTAACTTTTGTATGCAATAATATTTAGTAGGTATCTCCTAATAATGAAGTGTACGGCTAGGTATTTCCACCTGAAAATGTGCATGTTTGTCTCCATCATTCTAGTCCTTTAGCTGAAATATTTTTAAATGCAACTGTTTCAATATATACTGCATAGAAATTATCCTCACATAGCAGTTATATTAAAAAGTCAGAAGAACTCCTAGCTTTGTTGTTAAAATAACAGGTAGGTAATTTCCATCCAGGATTTATAATAATATTTAACAAATCCATTAAAATATGTTTAGAATATATGGAATGTGAAAATTCAGAATAATTGAGAGAAATAAGATTCATTAGGTCACACTTCTGCTTCCTTTTGGAAGAAAACTAAGCATGGCTTTCTCAGTTACATGGTATGATAATTAACATAAATTTGTAAAGATTTCAGATTAAGAGGCATTATGTCAAGTTCTTCTAAAGAATTATTTGAAGTTAAATAATGCATTTCCAAGAATAGTTGAAAATCTTGAACACTGCAAACTTCAATATTTCTTGTAGGTTGGAGGAGACTGTGCAGTCCAATCTAGAACTTGGCCAAGATGCAATTATCTGCTGCAGTGCTTGGAGAAAGGGGGGCTTCACTCAGAGAAGAAGTTGGCAACATTTTTTTTCAGCAAAAATTACTTAGCAACTAATCTGGGATATTTTATATAATCTGATGTTTATATAAAAATGGTTTATATAAAAAAATGGATTGTAATTCGGAAGGCCTACCACATTTCACTTCCCACCACTATGCCAAGGTGTATAGGGAGCGGATGAGAGGCTACCGCTTATCCAATGTTGTACAATTGACCAACTGCATGTGGTCTCCATGATGCTATTCTCAATTATTTTCACTAGTCGTTGTATTAGGACTATATTTATCGTGCTACCAGCCACGTTTTGGGCCTGAGGGTGTTTGTTGCAAGGGTGTCAAGCAAACAAGGAATTGGTGATGGTCTCCACCTCCCCTACAACCATCCCAAACCACCTTTTTATTAGACTTTCCTTGTGTTTATTTAACAATTTATTGAACAACACAACAAGAAGAACCAGGTATGTACATTGAACAGAGAAGAAAAAGAATAAGCGCAAAACCGAGGCAAGGGGGTCTATAACATCAAATAATGGTATTTTCAAGTTTGCCTGCTTTACCCAGTCTGAAAAGCAAAAAAAAAAAAGATTAACATGATAAACCTAAGGAGTGCACTAAATCCATAAAAAATATCCGTTACATTAACTTTAACATGATTAAGTTAGTGATGCATATCAAATAGCGAGCACTCTACTATGGTGTCAACACTGGAATTGATACATACTTTTGCTTTAATTTTGTACTTTAATTTCACATTATATTGCATCTCAGGAGCGGGGGGTTTGCAGGACCCCTAGTAGGAAAATCCTACTTCCTTGCAGTATCACTGAAATGAGCTTCCCACAACATCGTTAATTCGTAATGGTACAATTTTTGCAATGGATATGATCTAAATTAAAAAAATTGGGTCAACTATTGCAGCAAAGTCTAATGACTTTTAGTAGGTAATACCAACAAAGTTTTTGGTACCATCCAAAATAATGAGATATACTCCACTTCTTTTATGGCATGTGGCACATTGTAATGGCAGAAAACAAGTTAAGATGTTCCACTCCATGTTTGGGTAGTGTCAAATTTGATTTTACAATGAATAGATTCCATCCACACTGAGGTTTAAATGATGGAAAGTCATTTCAAAATTTAAAAACCTCATTATTAATACATGTATTTTTTCCTGATATGAATTTTCATAAATAGGTATGTGCACATGAACTAATATGAATAGGCCAGATATAAATTTTTTACTGTTTTTGCATGATTTGGTTGCTATTGTTCAAGTGACTTCACTTCAGATCCCAATTGATTTCGGCTCTCATTGTGAGTTTTGGATTGTCTCATGTCTTTTAGAAAACATATCTATTTTATTAGCAAGATTCACTTTATTTTGGTAAATCAGATTTGCAGAATTTCGAGAACTTGGGGATGTACCATTAATAAAAATGAGATATTATTAATTTTGGATGTATGGATGACAATTTTACTCTCATTACCATGATGCTCATTTTTGCCAGCTGTAGCTGTAGAAACACATGCCTAAGCCATTGAACCAATATGTGCATTGGGTAGCTGCATGTGTTGCATTGTTCTGCCACTGATTGGTCCAAATATCCTTAGCAAATGTTAAGCATTAAAATCACAAATATCTCTTGCTTAGTTCAAGTGCTTGTGCTATAAATTGTGAAACCATTTTAAATAATCTTTCTTATATTATCAACATATCATTAATGATAAATTTTTGTAGGTATCATACTTATCCATCTATAAAATTACTTACCTATTTTGTTCATGTATGAAATTATGAATTTTAAATACTCATACACAAATTTTTTGGGATTGAAATTTTTGAAAACGTCATTGCTATTAAATTTTAACACACCACATGGCACCCAGCATGGAAAACATCTCCCTTTAGGGCCGCCACTAGAGCTTTACTGCCAGCCGCCCTTTCCGGAACCACAAGATTCCTGCCAGATGAATTACGTACTTCCTATCTAATTGTCACTGTGCAGAAAGTGGGTGAATATCAGAAGATATTTGGCAATGCATCTGCAGCAAAATTTATGCTTTCTGAAGATCTTGCCAATACATTTGGATTGAAATTATTGCATATGAGAAATAACTTTGAAATTATTGGAAATCTGAAAGACTGCAAGCACACACAGTAAGGTTTCCGGTATGCTGGGAGGATCAGGATGCAGAGAAGCTTGTCCTGAATTCAGTTATGATGTGTGTAAGTTGCTTTCAGCACTTGATATACTACTACGGTATCATTTGCAGCAGTTGATATACCGTACTATCAAAGTTGCTTGCAGCACTTATTAAAAATTACCCGGCAACGGATCTTGAAAATGGCTGGCAACGGTTTGGGCTAAAAAACCATATCTTGGCGATGCTGCTTGTACCCTCTCCACCCAGGTCTAATTGTTAACAAAAGAGCACGATCAAGCAGCAAGTTTCCAAACAGGGTGGAATTCTAAAATTAGTGGTTCAGTTTAAAAAAAAGCATTCCACCTTAAAAAAAAATGTTCCAGGCAAAATGTTCCTTGGCAATCGGCATGAACGTTACATCAGGCAACACAGTGAAGGTCCCAAGATTGTTAATTGAGTGCGTCACTCATGGATAAGCAAGAGGGATCTACAGAAGGAAATACTATTAACTCTTAACATAATAGTTTCAAATTAAATGTAAAAACATTTATTGCACCTATTCCTTACATCCGCTTTCAAATTGAAGAAAAACTCATTGGCAATTGGAAAAACTTCTCAAAGAAAAGGCAATGCACAATATGACACTTGACTGATTAGAATAGAGTACCATACATGACAATTTAGCATTCAAACCTTTAGATTCTGTGAACCTTGTGATTTCTTCATTATTAAAACTTTAGAAGGCTCATAATATATCACAAAAAGTTTTCACTCAATTATCGTCTATAAGTTTTGGAGCTTTATCTGCAGTTAATGCGCTGTAGCTACCTCACACACCAATTGCATAACAAGAACTATAACCAGTTATTCACCACCTCACCCCCCCTTCTTCTTTTTCTTCATTCATTTTACACTTTTTTCCTTTATAATACACACATCTCACAACAATGTCTCTCATTCGCTTTAGATTACAAAGTTATCTAAAGCGAAATTTATCTTTTATTTACACTCTAGGATAATGCAGCCCATGGATGAGAGAATGCTCATGCAAAGTTTGGGGAAAAGTTATGGCTCGGTGTGGGAGATATTGAGCGTGGAAAAAATTTTCCTCTGAAAAAGGGTGAAAAAAACACCGTTTTTTGTGAAAAAAGCATAGAAAACGACATTTTATCGAAAAGTCACACGAGCAAAAATAGTTTGGAAATTCAATTTCGACTTATAGAGGTGAAACTTCCAGCGAGATTGGAGCAGAGGGTTGGGCTGTGGGATTGCGAGAGTGAAAACTTTACCTCGCTCTACAATCGCACGTACTGTGAGTAGAATAATGACAGCTCGTGCAAAGCACAATACGCGTAGTGGCGCGGGGTAAAACCGGGGGGCTTTGCGCCCCCCAAATCAGAGGTTTTCCGTCATTGGCAACAAGTAAACACTAACCATCATTAGATTCCCACTACCTTGGCTGTTGCATACAATTGATTCTGCATGTACAAGATTTACGAAGGTTATTAAACCATTCTGTTGAATGTCAGTTACTGATAAATTTGTAATATAGAAGAATTTGTATCAATCATTTTTTCACAAGAGTATATTGATGGTTGGTATCCCTGCGGCCTGCTACCTTCTTTGTTATTGTCTTTCGTTAAGGTAGTAATCCTGATCGTGACGGAAGGAGTTTCTATGTCTCAGCATATTGCATCAGTCGTCAGTTTTGTATATGTGGATTGAATCATAGGTAGTTTTTCATGTATTTGTGAGTGAATGTACATAGTGAAGATGTTATTCTTTGCAATTTCCATCAATAGTGACATAACTACATTATTGTATTACGCACTTGAAACAAGAAGTGTAGCATTACGCATTAAATTAGCATCAACAGCGTTAACATTGTTTGCATTTGGGTCGGTCCATTCTAGCTTTTTAACGCTGATTGGATTTCAGTGGCTGTGACGTTGCACACATTCCGATGCTAATTGGATTCTTGTGGCTGTGACATTGCACATGTTCTAGCAATGATTGGATTCATGTGACTGTGACGTTGTATGCATTCAAGCGTTGATTGGATGGATCCTTGTAAGTTGTTACTGTGATGATGTAAGCTCTGTTTTTTTCCAATGAAACAGCTGTGGCAGCTTGCAGAGACTTATCTATTATTATATTATATTAATGATGATGATGGACTGAAAGTGGAAGTATGATGGCCTTTCCAGATTTTTAGGTCATGCTTTCCAATTTGCTATGTTAAGCCAGTTAATATATTAGAATAATATTACCCTTTCTGGAATAAAATTCCAAATGTATCAAAAATTTGTCATGCCATGAAGCCCATGATACCAAAGCCACAAGATTTAAGGAACAAGTAGGAAAATCTCAATCCTGCATGGCACATGCGACATGGCTAGTGCTCTGTGAATTATATAATAAATAATTTTAATTTTTTTCAAACAATGAATATTTTCTAAAACATCTGAGATGTTTGAAAGAAGGTATACAAAATAGTTCAAAAAAAGTGTATTATTATGCCTAATATACTGCTTTGTCCAGTTAGGTTGTTTACCAATTTTACCATTCCCATTTAGTCTTTAGATTGGATATGGAATATAAAACTACCTATATTCTCTTGTTATATTTAGCTGGAAATTTAGAACAGATCAGGCTGGATCAATATTGAATATAGAAAATACATTTTCTAGAATTCCATATCATTTTCCATAATGTATTTTAAACACTTGGTATGCCATACGTGATCTCTCAGGCCTCACTGGCAGTGTGGAATTCTGTATAGTTAATATATTCTCATGTTAATATATGAAAACGTATCGAAAAATCAACCCTACCACCGCGTTACACCACCTCACCTTCCACTGCAGTGAAATCATATAAACTGAGCTCATTGGAAACTGCCTGCCGCTCTTCCGAAATCGCGCGTGGTTTGAAATCCAATCCCGTGTTGCCAACGCCGAATCAAGTTAACTAGTCGTTTATCTGTAGGCTAGCGGACACATTTTTGCAA